CCCTCTTGGGACAAGGATAAAGGATTAAGCCCAGTTCTGTCCTTAGAAAGCTTACTATATTTGGCAGTCTTTCCCCTTGTAGACCCCAAAGTGTGCTGCTGTACTCACACTGTCCTCCTTGCTCCCTGCTACTCCAGGCCTTGATCCTATCCATGCCTCTCCACAGAACATATCCTCCTGAGCCAGCCCGAGCCCAATCTAGAGGCCAGCCCCCCTCAGATCTAAGGGACCCCTTCTACGCACTGACAGTCTCCTCAGCACTCCATCTTCCACCTGGCTTCCTTGTCAGCCTGACTCTCCCACATTTATAGGCCAGTCCACCACTCTTCCAGGGCCTCCAAACCTGGCATTGGCCTGACCCCCCATGAATATGCAGATTAGGCCTCCTTCCCTTCCTTCTTACCAACTCTCAGAAGGTTCTATGGTCCTCCAGAGTCAGGAGGAGGTGATAGAGCCACAACCTGTTGAATCATCCAGCTGACCTGCAACAACCTGCACATACACATGATTTTTGCCTATAACATACACACTATTCTAGTAGCGCAGTAGAGGGTGCTACACATATTATCTTACCGGAGGCACTTGTGGCCTATATAACAGTCATCCCTACATCATGCATGAACTATCGCCCAATATCTCTTGTAAACCTAGGTGTAAACATTTTAGCAAAGGTATTAGCTTGTAGTTTACAGCTTTATTTACCGTCCCTGATTGATCCACTACATCACGGGCAGGGAAGCTAAGGATAACTCTATAAGAGCTATCCACCTAGCTCATTGGGTCTCCATTGAAAAAAAACACGCACACCCAGTCTACTCCTGTCTATAGATGCCAAAAAGGCATATGACAGGGTAAACTGGGTATTTTTAGAGGAGGCCTTGACTTCCTTAGGCCTTGAGCCAAAAAGCTTGGGCTAGATTATGGCTTTATAAAGGAAGCCCTCGGCCAGGGTCAAGTTTAATGGTACCCTCTCTCCCTCTTTTGGGATAAAAAAATGGCACTCAGCAGGGGTGTCTTCTGTCACCTTTTGTTTTCTTTGGTCATAGAGGCACTACTGTGCAAGGCCAGAGGGAACTCCAACATTCACAGGTTCAAGGTGGGCTCTATTTTAATATCTCTGACCATGTTTTTATTTTATATATGACCATATATATATATATATATATATATATATATATATATATATATATTAAAAAACATTACCTAACCTAATGGTTGATATAAAGGAATTTGGGGCCCTATCCAATTTTAAAATAAATTATAATAAATCTGAAATCTTGACATTATACATACTCCAGTATATAGAGGACTCTTTTAAACAATATTTTTCTTTTAACATGGAATAAAATATCTATGAAATATCTAGGTATCAATCTGACAGCAGATTGTATCTACGTTATATGAAGAAAATCACATCCCATGTCTTCAAATAATAATGTCTTTGCAGGCTGGGATAAAAGATACCTTCTCTTGGCCAGGAAGAAATAATATTCTAAAAATTAGTTTGTTGCCTAAAATGTTATATCATTATGCAGATGATGCCTATCCAGCTTTCAACCTCTTTTTATTTTAATATCTTGAGGGTCTTCACAGACTTTGTATGGCGAAAGTGAAAACTCAGGTTAGCTTATCATATTCTCCCAAATCAAATGGCGGGCTGGGTCTCTCAGACCGGAGGAACTACTATGGAGCAATTGCTAGAGAAACCACACCACTCAGAAAGCGTGGGTGTCCCTGGAGACTATCACACTAATGTATCATGAATTGTAGATAAAGTCATTTTTAGCAGGGGTTGCCTGAAACCAGAAAGTTATGTCAAGTGTTCCTCTACGTTGAAAAGGTTGAGAAAGGCTGCATTAGATGCTTGGAGAAATTATCAATTACAACATTTTTACTCTGTTCATCTAAGGGCCATTAGAGCTGCAGACTCTCTTACTGGCTTTGAATCTTTATGGCTTAGGCAGCCTATTGATAGAGGTTTGTTATCCATTTCTTATAAATTGCTGAATAAACATGGTTGCCACTTCAGGCTTGAGATTCACTTCAGGCTTGAGATTCCTTAGGGAATGGGAGACAGAGTTAGGCTGTCTCACAGACCAGTGAAAGTGGTATAGAGTTCCGAAAAAGTTGGAGGTTGCATACCCTTCAGCATCACATAGATGGGTTGAGGTATACAGGGATCCTAAACGCATATACGGTACGGTGGGATTGTCCCAAGATTAGACCATTTGGAGCTGAGATTAGAAAATTAAATTACTGCGGTTTTAATCTAAGATGACCCCATACAGTGCCTTTCCATGGCACTGGCTCTGTCAGGCCATATAAAAACAGTATAGTCCCTCATCTATTAGATGCTGCTAAATGGGTAATCGCAGGAAAAGCAACAAACTCCCTTCATGGAACAAGGGGTGAGACAAGTTAAGGAAATGATGGAAGCTGATAAATGGATGTACATCTAATAACAATAGATGGGAAAATGTTCAGGCTAAATGGGAACCCTGGATTTACTTTATGAATAGAACAGAGAATGAGAGTTAAACAGCCCATGCAGTCTGGGATGTGGGGGTAATCTGAGTTTTGGTTACCTTGTTTAGAAGTGTTATATTTATTTAATTTTATTGCGTTAATAATTATGAGACCCCCCTCTTTATTTTTATGCTTATGTTTTTGGTTGTAACATGCTATTATTTTAATAAATACACATTTTGTGATCTAAGCTACAGTTTGTAGGACAGGTGGGAATGTGTATATTTGTATGTTTTTTTTTCTTGTTAGTATCTTCATAATGGAGAAATAAAGAAATAAAGATTGTATAAAAAATAAACACAAAGGATATAAATTCACAGTGTGTCCATCAAATGCTTTTGCAAACCTAGACATTACCCTATAAAAACAGCAGTGACGACATCACTGTGCTGTACATGCCTATGCAGAGAGCAGCAGACCAGCAGGCCCCAGTCATTACATGCTGCTGCAGAAAAAAACAGGAGGGGTGGAGACGAGAACCATCACAAGGAGAGAGAGCAGCAATGCAGTCACGACCAGTGTCTTTACTACAGAAATAGAGCCAAAGCTTTACACTGCATTACACAAAGTACATCAAGATTACACATGGCTCTTGTATGTACTGTAGATGATATTATTATTATTATTATACAGTATTTATATAGCGCCAAAGGGTATGCTCGCGTATTATAAAAAAAAAATTCCAATATATATACCGCCATTTGTAGGCGCTATAAATTTCACATAAACCAATTAATTTACACGTATTGGGATTTTTTCTGTGGAGGGCAAGTGGTTCCTGTCACCTTGTCACCATGTGGATTTTGAGTACAGTAAATCAGATACAAACAGTGAGGACATTTTTCAATCGGTGTAGCTAGTGCACTATTTATGGATTATGGATATTTTATTAGTTTTATAGATGTGTGTTTTTAGGTATTGAAGTGCACTTGTTGGTGCTGGTGTTTTGATACACAATTTTGCAGTTTTGTATTTTGTGCTATTGGGGGGGGGGGGGGGGGGGTAGTAATATATATATTTTTTTTTTTTTTCTTGTACTCGGTTTTGTTTTTTGCTTTGAGTGCTGCAGGCTTATGTTATTTGAATTCAATATTAGCGGAAAAGGAACTGCTATATATTGTTTGTAAAGAGTCCAGAAAATAAAGCAAGAATGTACAGATCAATCCACCCCCATAGAAACCTGTAGGAAAATGCTGCTGGGTTTTCTAAGCCATTTTAAAGTTTATATGTTTATGTTCACCCCCTGTTCATCCTCCCTGCACAGCTTTGCCCTGCTACCGCTCCGGGTCTCACTGAAGCCAGCTCCCTCATCTTGAGTCATTTCAGTGGACAGGACAGCGTATAAAGCAACCCCTGGCCAGCATAAGTATGACCTCCTGTTAAGATGGCCGCCGATCCAAACCTCTGTCTCCATCTCCTGCTTCTACCCCAGAGCTCTTTGGTGAGACTGGGAATCCTTCACCACCAGCTTCCTTGTCTGCCTCGGCGATTCCACCCACTCCTTTCTTAGACCTCATCCAACTCTGGAGCATTGGATGAAGTGCTGGAACCCACGAGGTGTTAACCACCATTAAGTTTAAAGAATTTTCTTACTCATAATGAGACTTTAAATGCAACCTTATGACACAAAAAATTATTTCTTTAAAAATGACATTTATTTGTACAGAAAGTTTTAAAAAAAAAGAATTATGCCAACATATAAAAAACGATAAATGCTCCAAACCATACTAGTGGGCTATTAGGATTGCTTATTTGAGTTTTGAGACTACAACATAGTATAACAAGGGTCCAGTGATATCCCCCATAGCCTATTTTCCATCATACGATTTCCGTTTGATTGCAGGTTTATTCAGCCAGGGAGCAACGCGTTTTGAATACTTTTAGAAAAAAATTATCTTCAAAGGAAGAAATACACTCTGGAACATCATAAATAATAGTTTACTATCAAATTTACAGAATTTTCCATATTGTTTACAAAAGGACAACTTACATTTTTAAATGCAAAACTTACATAGCCACAGTGTATTATAAATGTTCTATGAAATGTCTCATCATGTAAGGAAAGATATCACCCCGTGATTGGAGTCACCATTGTGGTATGCATGGACCACGAGCCATAATAAATGATAAGATTTAATATATCCTTCAATTAAAAATGTACTTTTCAAAAGACACCTATGTCAGATCATATTAGAGGGCTGGGGGCTGTGACTCAAGCTAGTGATGGAGCTAACTGACTTATGATTGCTGCTAAAGGTGAACATTATAGTATATTTAAAAGCTATATATGCGCTGATATTAAATATGAATACATCAATATATTGCGGTGCTAGAAATTAAGAAAACACTATTATAGAAAATTGCAGCACTCAAAAGATCCCCATACAAGTATCTTACTTAGTATATGCAGAACACTGTACCTTTAATTTAAATGCCCTTGGAGTCTGCTGGGGAAGAGAAATAATACTGTCAGTCAGTATGACATGCAGATGAGTGCCGTCGATCTTAGAATCACCGCACACTTCACTCATTTGGGCAGTCACGGGGCCAAAACCAGAGTGTGGAGCCACAGTGTGGCGGTGGAGGCAGCAGCAATGGGAGGCCATACAGCACCCTATGACAAAAATGGAACCCACCAGCAGTGTGAGGAGACCTGAAAGTGGCACATGGCAGAGTGTGGCGATGGAGACAGCAGCAATGGGAGGCCGCCGTACAGGGACCCATGACACACTCTGGACCTGGCAGCAGCATGAGGAGGCGGTACAGGGGCCCATGACAGATTACGGGCCTGGCAGCAGCATGAGGAGTCGGTACGGGGGCCCATGGCAGATTACGGGCCTGGCAGCAGCAATGGGAGGCCATACAGCACCCTATGACAAAATGGAACCACCAGCAGTGTGAGGAGACCTGAAAGTGGCACATGGCAGAGTGTGGCGATGGAGACAGCAGCAATGGGAGGCCGTACAGGGACCCATGAGACACTCTGGACCTGGCAGCAGCATGAGGAGGCGGTACGGGGGCCCATGGCAGATTACGGGCCTGGCAGCAGCAATGGGAGGCCCGTAATCTGCCAGCACCCTATGACAAAATGGAACCCACCAGCAGTGTGAGGAGACCTGAAAGTGGCACATGGCAGAGTGTGGCGATGGAGACAGCAGCAATGGGAGGCCGTACAGGGACCCATGAGACACTGTGGACTCTGGACCTGGCAGCAGCATGAGGAGGCGGTACGGGGGCCCATGGCAGATTACGGGCCTGGCAGAGCAGCAGCAATGGGAGGCCCGTAATCTGCCAGCACCCTATGACAAAATGGAACCCACCAGCAGTGTGAGGAGACCTGAAAGTGGCACATGGCAGAGTGTGGCGATGGAGACAGCAGCAATGGGAGGCCGTACAGGGACCCATGAGATACTCTGGACCTGGCAGCAGCATGAGGAGCGGGGGTACGGGGGGCCCATGGCAGATTACGGGCCTGGCAGCAGCAATGGGAGGCCCGTAATCTGCCAGCACCCTATGACAAAAAATGGAACCCACCAGCAGTGTGAGGAGACCTGAAAGTGGCACATGGCAGAGTGTGTGGCGATGGAGACAGCAGCAATGGGAGGCCGTACAGGGACCCATGAGACACTCTGGACCTGGCAGCAGCATGAGGAGGCGGTACGGGGGCCCATGGCAGATTACGGGCCTGGCAGCAGCAATGGGAGGCCCGTAATCTGCCAGCACCCTATGACAAAATGGAACCCACCAGCAGTGTGAGGAGACCTGAAAGTGGCACATGGCAGAGTGTGGCGATTGGAGACAGCAGCAATGGGAGGCCGTACAGGGACCCATGACACACTCTGGACCTGGCAGCAGCATGAGGAGGCGGTACGGGGGCCCATGGCAGATTACGGGCCTGGCAGCAGCAATGGGAGGGCCGTAATCTGCCAGCACCCTATGACAAAATGGAACCCACCAACAGTGTAAGGAGACCTGAAAGTGGCACATGGCAGAGTGTGGCGATGAAGTCAGCAGCAATGGGAGGCCGTACAGGGACCCATGACACACTCTGGACCTGGCAGCAGCAAGAGGAGGCGGTACAGGGGCCCATGGCAGAGTGGCGAAGCGTAAGCAGCTTAAATTGAAGGCCATACTGCCAGCAGGCCTATGTTAAAAATAAAAACATGCATGTTTGGGGCATGATTCATGGCGGATTTAGTCAGTTGTGTGTCAGGAACTGGTGGTTTGAAATCCAGACTAATCCACGCCTGATTCATTTTCACAAACGTGAGTCTCTCCACACTTTGGGTGGACAGTCGTGTCCTCCGCGGAGTTACAATACCTCCTGCCGCACTAAACACGCGCTCCGATGCCACGCACCTACTGGCCGGGCATGACAGCCTTTCAAGGGCAAATTCAGCTAGTTGGGGCCAAAGGTCAAAGTTTCGTTGCCAGTAGTCAAGGGGATTGTCTACCTCGGTTGGCAGGGTGCTGTCCAAATAGGCCCGAGCCTGTTGTTTGAGGTCCTGCTCCAGGTCCACCTGATGCTGCTGCTGCTGCGGCTGGTTAGTAGTTTCAGATCACTGCGCTGGTGAAGAAAGCTAATCATCATCGACTGCAGACTGAGGCAGCTGCTGCTGGTGGAGCTGCCCACTGCTCCTACCACCACCACCCCCTCCCTGCTGCCATGCAGCAGCGGAACGCGAGCGCACAGGGCCCACAGTGTGGACTGAGGATGGACGTTGGCGCAGAAAGGCAGAGACCAACTGACTACATAGGTGGTTTTTATAGTACGTTATTTTTGGCCTCCCTCTCAGCAGGTGTGAAAAGGCCACCATTTTTGAACGGTAGCGAGGGTCCAACAAGGTGGACAGCCAAAAATGTCATCCCTCTGTCTGATGGTTATTATTCGGACTGTGAACTACGCAAGCAACCGAGCATGCTATGGGCCATTTGTGCCAAGGAATGCGAGGGACTCCCTGCCTCCATCTCCACAGCATACTGCCACGGTGCGGGTGGGCCAAGTCTCCTCCTCCTCCTCTACCAGATGCTCCTGCTCCTCCACTCCTGTCCGCTGAGTGGAAAAACCACCCATTTCACTCAATAATTCCTGAGCACCAATGTCCTCCTCTACCTCCTCCTCTTCTTCATGTCCTGTCCCCCCCACAGGGGTCATGTGGCGTTGAGATCTGTGCGCCACGTTCTACCGCACCCTGACCAGCCATTGTTAACAGCATTTGTTCCAGGACGTGCAACAGAGGAATGACGTCGTTCATCCCATAGTCCTGCCGCCGACTCACGAATAGCGTGGCCTCCTCAAAGGGCCTGAGCAAGCGGCAGGTGGTCACGCATGAGCTGCCATGGCTGACATCTAAGTTACACAGGGGAGTACCTTTATCCGCTTGTAACATCAGGAAATCGGTGATGGCCTTTCGCTGTTCGTAAAGGCGGTTACACATGTGGGTTGAATTCCACCTTGTTGCAACGTCACAGCATGAGGAGTCGGTACGGGGGCCCATGGCAGATTAAGGGCCTGGCAGCAGCAATGGGGAGGCCCGTAATCTGCCAGCACCCTATGACAAAATGGAACACACCAGCAGTGTGAGGAGACCTGAAAGTGGCACATGGCAGAGTGTGGCGATGGAGACAGCAGCAATGGGGGAGGCCGTACAGGGACCATGAGAGACTCTGGACCTGGCAGCAGCATGAGGAGGCGGTACGGGGGCCCATGGCAGATTACGGGCCTGGCAGCAGCAATGGGAGGCCCGTAATCTGCCAGCACCCTATGACAAAATGGAACACACCAGCAGTGTGAGGAGACCTGAAAGTGGCACATGGCAGAGTGTGGCGATGGAGAGCAGCAATGGGAGGCCGTACAGGGACCCATGAGACACTCTGGACCTGGCAGCAGCAGCATGAGGAGGCGGTACAGGGGCCCATGGCAGGCCTGGCAGCAGCAATGGCGGCCCGTAATCAGCTGCCAGCACCCTATGAAGGCCAACACAGGCCAGCAGTGTGAGGAGACCCTGAAAGTAACATGTTTGGGGCATGATTCATGGCGGATTTAGTCAGTTGTGTCAGGAAACTGGTGGTTTGAAATCCAGACTAATCCACGCCTGATTCATTTTCACAAACGTGAGTCTCTCCACACTTTGGGTGGGACAGTCGTGTCCTCCGCGGGAGTTACAATACCTCCTGCCGCACTAAACACGCGCTCCGATGCCACGCTACTGGCCGGGCATGACAGCCTTTCAAGGGCAAATTCAGCTAGTTGGGGCCAAAGGTCAAGTTTCGTTGCCCAGTAGTCAAGGGGATTGTCTACCTCGGTTGGGCAGGGTGCTGTCCAAGTAGGCCCAAGCCTGTTGTTTGAGGTCCTGCTCCAGGTCCACCTGATGCTGCTGCTGCTGCTGGCTGCGGCTGGTTAGTAGTTTCCTCACTGCGCTGGTGAAGAAAGCTACTCATCATCGACTGCAGACTGAGGCAGCCGCTGCTGGTGGAGCTGCCACTGCTCCTACCACCCCCCCCCTCCCCTGCTGCCATGGCAGCGGAACGCGAGGCGCACAGGGCCCACAGTGTCTGAGGGATGGACGTTGGCGCAGAAAGGCAGAGACCAACTGACTACATAGGTGGTTTTTATAGTACGTTATTTTGGCCTCCCTCTCAGCAGGTGTGAAAAAGGCCACACCATTTTTGAACGGTAGCGAGGGTCCAACAAGGTGGACAGCCAAAAGTCATCCCTCTGTCTGATGGTTATTATTCGGCTGTCGCTACGCAAGCAACCGAGCATGCTATGGGCCATTTGTGCCAAGGAATGCGAGGGACTCCCTGCCTCCATCTCCACAGCATACTGCCACGGTGCGTCTGGGTCCTCTGTCTCCTCCTCCTCCTCCTCTACCAGATGCTCCTGCTCCTCCACTCCTGTCCGCTGAGTGGAAAAAACCACCCATTTCACTCAATAATTCCTGAGCACACAATGTCCTCCTCTACCTCCTCCTCTTCTTCCTGTCCTGCCCCCACAGGGGTCATGTGGCGTTGAGATCTGTGCGCCACGTCTACCGCACCCTGACCAGCCATTGTTAACAGCATTTGTTCCAGGACGTGCAACAGAGGAATGACGTCGTTCATCCCATAGTCCTGCCGACTCACGAATAGCGTGGCCTCCTCAAAGGGCCTGAGCAAGCGGCAGGTGTCACGCATGAGCTGCCAATGGCTGACATCTAAGTTACACAGGGGAGTACCTTTATCCGCTTGTAACATCAGGAAATCGGTGATGATGGCCTTTCGCTGTTCGTAAAGGCGGTCTAACATATGTAGGGTTGAATTCCACCTTGTTGCAACGTCACAGCATGAGGAGTCGGTACGGGGGCCCATGGCAGATTACGGGCCTGGCAGCAGCAATGGGAGGCCCGTAATCTGCCAGCACCCTATGACAAAATGGAACCCACCAGCAGTGTGAGGAGACCTGAAAGTGGCACATGGCAGAGTGTGGCGATGGAGACAGCAGCAATGGGAGGCCGTACAGGGACCCATGACAGACTCTGGACCTGGCAGCAGCATGAGGAGGCTGGTACAGGGGCCCATGGCAGATTACGGGCCTGGCAGATTACGGCAGCAGCAATGGGAGGCCCGTAATCTGCCAGCACCCTATGACAAAATGGAACAGCACCAGCAGTGTGTGAGGAGACCTGAAAGTGGCACATGGCAGAGTGTGGCGATGGAGACAGCAGCAATGGGAGGCCGTACAGGGACCCATGAGACACTCTGGGACCTGGCAGCAGCATGAGGAGGCAGGCAGAACCGCCCGTATCTAGGGCCCACGGTCAGATTACCAGGCCACAGCAGCAATGGGGGGACGCCCGTAATCTGCCAGCACCCTATGACAAAATGGAACACCAGCAGTGTGAAAGTCCAACATGTGGCCCCCCCCTGGCCACGCTTGACTTTCTGGCCACATAGTCGACATACGGCTACGTTTACTTCCTCGGGCGCCGTGGCTTGACAAAAAATTTGCCACACCGCCGAGTGAGGAAACTTTGCCCCCATGGCTACTCCTCACTGGCTGACTGCTATGGGAGGCCGTGCACACCGGCACCACTACTGGCCGTGGAACCCCTGCAGTGGAGCTGGTGCTCTACTCCGTGGCCGTTTGCCTCCACTGACACTGCTGCGACCCTGCTGCCTCCTGGGCAACCCACCGACTGTTTTGCTCGCTGCTGCCAAGCTGGCACCCTCTTCTCCTGATGATGCGGAAGCAATAGCCTGATGACGACGAGGCTGCCAAGTGCGATCAGCCTCATCATCATCAATTAGGGTCTCCAGTCACTACTAGCCCCTCGGCTGCGTGTGGGTCAGGAGACAGACCTGTCTCTAGACCGGCTACCGAGCCACTCTCCTCGCCAGTACTTCTTCGCCTGGCTGCTGAAGAGAGGCGGATGTCTCCCCCCGTTCCTGACCGCCCTCTGTTAGCTCTTCCTCACTGTACAGTGGGGCTGAGCCCACAGCCCACAGCATGCGATACTTCGCTTGGTGAGGGAACACCAAAGGACAGGGGCAGGTAGAGGACACGTGATTTCAGTGGGCTTGCTCCCGGGCCATGCCAACTAACGGTTGTGTCTGAGTACGTACCCACCGACCGTTGGCTGTAGGTGTCAGAGGTGACCTGGGAAGAGGAAGACGACCGAGCCAACCAAATCGATGACGGCAGGGTTGTCGGTGGAGACACGACCGCTGGATGACACCGGGAGCACTGGCCTCTGGCTGCGACTAGTGCTGCCTCGACCCCTTCCTCTGCCTGAGCCACGTCTGCTCGCTCCTGAAACATTGCCTCCTCTGCCACTCCTCTGCGTGTTGTCTGACATACTCTTTAATTCAACGATTCTGTGTCCCTGAGTAACAATTCTGTGTCCCTGAGTAACATTCTGTGTCTGTCCCTGAGTAACAATTCTGTGTCCCTCAGTAACAATTCTGTGTCCCTGAGTAACAAATTCTGTGTTCTGTGTCCTGAGTAACAATTCTGTGTCCCTCAGTAACAATTCTGTGTCCCCCTGAGTAACAATTCTGTGTCCCTCCCTGAGTAACAATTCTGTGTCCCTCAGTAACAATTCTGTGTCCCCTCAGTAACAATTCTGTGTCCTGAGTAACAATTCTGTGTGTCCTGTCCCTGAGTAACAATTCTGTGTCCCTCAGTAAACTGTTCTGTGTAACAATTCTGTGTCCTGAGTAACAATTCTGTGTCCCTCAGTAACAATTCTGTGTCCTGTCCCTGAGTAACAATTCTGTGTCCCTGAGTAACAATTCTGTGTCCCTCAGTAACAATTCTGTGTCCCTCAGTAACAAATTCTGTGTCTGTCCCTGAGTAACAATTCTGTGTCCCTGAGTAACAATTCTGTGTCCCTGAGTAACAATTCTGTGTCCCTCCCTGAGTAACAATTCTGTGTCCCTCAGTAAACAATTCTGTGTGTCTGTCCCTGAGTAACAATTCTGTGTCCCTGAGTAACAATTCTGTGTCCCTCAGTAACAATTCTGTGTCCCTCAGTAACAATTCTGTGTCTGTGTCCTGAGTAACAATTCTGTGTCCCTCAGTAACAATTCTGTGTCCCCTGTCCCTGAGTAAACAATTCTGTGTCCCTGAGTAACAATTCTGTGTCCCTGAGTAACAATTCTGTGTCCCTCAGTAACAATTCTGTGTCCCTCAGTGTGTCCCTGAGTAACAATTCTGTGTCCCTGAGTAACAATTCTGTGTCCCTCTGAGTAACAATTCTGTGTCCCTGAGTAACAATTCTGTGTCCCTCAGAGTAACAATTCTCTGTCTGTCCCTGAGTAACAATTCTGTGTCCCTGAGTAACAATTCTGTGTCCCTCAGTAACAATTCTGTGTCCCTCAGTAACAATTCTGTGTCTGTCCCTGAGTAACAATTCTGTGTCCCTGAGTAACAATTCTGTGTCCCCCTGAGTAACAATTCTGTGTCCCTCAGTAACAATTCTGTGTCCCTGAGTAACAATTCTGTGTCTGTCCCTGAGTAACAATTCTGTGTCTGTGTCCTGAGTAACAATTCTGTGTCCCTGAGTAACAATTCTGTGTCCCCCTCAGTAAACAATTCTGTGTCCCTCAGTAACAATTCTGTGTCCCTGAGTAACAATTCTGTGTCCCTCAGTAACAATTCTGTGTCCCTCCTGAGTAACAATTCTGTGTCCCTGAGTAACAATTCTGTGTCCCTCAGTAACAATTCTGTGTCCCTCAGTAACAATTCTGTGTCCCTCAGTAACAATTCTGTGTCCCTCAGTAACAATTCTGTGTCTGTCCCTGAGTAACAATTCTGTGTCCCTGTCAGTAACAATTCTGTGTCCCTCAGTAACAATTCTGTGTCCCCAGTAACAATTCTGTGTCCCCTGAGTAACAATTCTGTGTCCCTGAGTAACAATTCTGTGTCCCTGAGTAACAATTCTGTGTCCCTCAGTAACAATTCTGTGTCCCTCCCTCAGTAACAATTCTGTGTCCCTGAGTAACAATTCTGTGTCCCTGAGTAACAATTCTGTGTCCCTGAGTAACAATTCTGTGTCCCTCAGTAACAATTCTGTGTCCCTGTCCCTGAGTAACAATTCTGTGTCCCTGAGTAACAATTCTGTGTCCCTGAGTAACAATTCTGTGTCCCTCTGTAGTAACAATTCTGTGTCCCTGAGTAACAATTCTGTGTCCCTGAGTAACAATTCTGTCCCTGTTCTGTGTCCCTCAGTAACAATTCTGTGTCCCTCAGTAACAATTCTGTGTCCCTGAGTAACAATTCTGTGTCCCTCAGTAACAATTCTGTGTCCCTCAGTAACAATTCTGTGTCCCTCAGTAACAATTCTGTGTCTGTCCCTGAGTAACAATTCTGTGTCCCTCAGTAACAATTCTGTGTCCCCCAGTAACAATTCTGTGTCCCTGAGTAACAATTCTGTGTCCCTCAGTAACAATTCTGTGTGTCCCTGAGTAACACAATTCTGTGTCCCTGAGTAACAATTCTGTGTCCCTGAGTAACAATTCTGTGTCTGTCCTCAGTAACAATTCTGTGTCCCTGTCCCTGTGTCCCTGTAGTAACAATTCTGTCCCCCTCAGTAACAATTCTGTGTCCCTGAGTAACAAATTCTGTGTCCCTCAGTAACAATTCTGTGTCCCCTCAGTAACAATTCTGTGTCCCTGAGTAAACAATTCTGTGTCCCTGAGTAACAATTCTGTGTCCCTCAGTAACAATTCTGTGTCTCAGTAACAATTCTGTGTCCCTGAGTAACAATTCTGTGTCCCTCAGTAACAATTCTGTGTCCCTGAGTAACAATTCTGTGTCTGTCCCTCAGTAACAATTCTGTGTCCCTCAGTAACAATTCTGTGTCCCTGAGTAACAATTCTGTGTCCCTGAGTAACAATTCTGTGTCCCTCAGTAACAATTCTGTGTCCCTCAGTAACAATTCTGTGTCTGTCCCTGAGTAACAATTCTGTGTCCCTGAGTAACAATTCTGTGTCCCTGTGTAAACAATTCTGTGTCCCTCCCTGAGTAACAATTCTGTGTCCCTGAGTAACAATTCTGTGTCCCTGAGTAACAATTCTGTGTCCCTCAGTAACAATTCTGTGTCCCTCAGTAGTAACAATTCTGTGTCCCTGAGTAACAATTCTGTGTCCCCTCAGTAACAATTCTGTGTCCCTCAGTAACAATTCTGTGTCCCCTCAGTAACAATTCTGTGTCTTCCCTGAGTAACAATTCTGTGTCCCTGAGTAACAATTCTGTGTCCCTCAGTAACAATTCTGTGTCCCTCAGTAACAATTCTGTGTCCCTGAGTAACAATTCTGTGTCCCTCTGAGTAACACATTCTGTGTCCCTGAGTAACAATTCTGTGTCCCTGAGTAACAATTCTGTGTCCCTCAGAGTAACAATTCTGTGTCCCTGAGTAACAATTCTGTGTCCCTGAGTAACAATTCTGTGTCCCTCAGTAACAATTCTGTGTCCCTCCCTGAGTAACAATTCTGTGTCTGTCCCTCTGTAACAATTCTGTGTCCCCCTGAGTAACAATTCTGTGTCCCTCAGTAACAATTCTGTGTCCCTCAGTAACAATTCTGTGTCCCTGAGTAACAATTCTGTGTCCCTGAGTAACAATTCTGTGTCCCTCAGTAACAATTCTGTGTCCCTCAGTAAACAAATTCTGTGTCTGTCCCTGAGTAACAATTCTGTGTCCCTGAGTAACAATTCTGTGTCCCTGAGTAACAATTCTGTGTCCCTCAGTAACAATTCTGTGTCCCTCAGTAACAATTCTGTGTCTGTCCCTGAGTAACAATTCTGTGTCCCTCAGTAACAATTCTGTGTCCCTCAGTAACAATTCTGTGTCTGTCCCTGAGTAACAATTCTGTGTCCCTGAGTAACAATTCTGTGTCCCTCAGTAACAATTCTGTGTCCCTCAGTAACAATTCTGTGTCTGTCCCTCAGTAACAATTCTGTGTCCCCTGAGTAACAATTCTGTGTCCCCTGAGTAACAATTCTGTGTCCCTGAGTAACAATTCTGTGTCCCTCAGTAACAATTCTGTGTCCCTCAGTAACAATTCTGTGTCCCTCTGTAACAATTCTGTGTCCCTGAGTAACAACAATTCTGTGTCTGTCCCTGAGTAACAATTCTGTGTCCCTGAGTAACAATTCTGTGTCCCTCAGTAACAATTCTGTGTCTGTCCCTGAGTAACAATTCTGTGTCCCTGAGTAACAATTCTGTGTCCCCTGAGTAACAATTCTGTGTCCCTCAGTAACAATTCTGTGTCTGTCCCTCA